CAGCAGTTACCTTAGAGTGAGTACATTTACTTTAGATACTAATAATATTTAATAAATAATATAATCACATTCAGCACGGTGGCACGGTGGTTAGCACTGTTGCCGCACAGCAAGAAGGTCCTGAGTTCAATTCCACCATCAGGCCGGGGTCTTTCTGTGTGGAGTTTGCATGTTCTCCCCGTGTTTGCGTGGGTTCCCTCCGGGTACTCCGGCTTCCTCCCACCGTCCAAAGACATGCAGCTTGTGGGGATAGGTTAATTGGATAATCCAAATTGTCACTAGGTGTGAATGTGAGTGTGAATGGTTGTCTGGCCCTGTGACAGACTGGTGACCTGTCCAGGGTGTACCCCGCCTTTCGCCCTATGACAGCTGGGATAGGCTCCAGCGCCCCCCGCGACCCTGAAAAGGATAAGCGGAAGCGAATGGATGGATGGATGGATAATCACATTCTGAATAAAGTTGTGGGGCTATGCCACAGGGCAGTTAGTAGGTCTGGGCCTGAATTCTTCTGAACGTCGAATCATCAGCAGAGCTCCTTTTTCATTTCATAAACATAACATATTAACTTGTGGACACGCCATTTAGAGTCAGGAAAAGGTGAGTCAATACCATGGAACTTGGCTTTTTGACATATTTGCACATGTATTTGCATATTTGCAAATCCATGACCCCTTGGAGGCAGTACGTGCAGATATAGGGGATGCACTGATGACAAACTGATCACACGAAAGTTCACTTTTCATAATCATTTTCATAAATACAACAAAACTGCATTCCCAAACAAAGCTGGTTTTGTGCTTTTGTTGACGGAGTGAAAAAGTCTGGCCGCAGTTACAGTAGACGGCTTTTCAGAGGAACCTTAAACCATCTGTGAATTGGTCGGGGTTTGGAGTTGCTTCGCTGCCTCAGGCACAACGCAGCTTGCAGTTATTGATCAACAATGAGTTGTACATCATGTGAAAGATTACTTGAAGATAAGGTGAGGACATCTGCCTGACAGTGAACCTGAATCAGAAGTGGACCTTTTGGCTCATATTCCTTCTTGAAAATTAGCAGAGAGTTACGTCCCGGTCAAAGCTTACATCTGAATCCCACTGACACTTTATGGAGTGATTTGAAACAGACATAAAAGACAAAAAAGCCCTCAAAACATCATTGAAATGAAGGAATTTTGCATGGGAGCAAATCAGAGACTGGTTGAATATTCCATCTGTAAATATTGAGTATACATATCAAGAAATGTCCAAATATGTCAAAAAAGCAAAAAGGTTTTCTACTGGACGTGCTAACTTTTTCTGCGTAGCTTGAACTAGTTAGATTACTTCTACACATGTTCAGCATAAAAGCTAAATATGAGCTTTTCCTCTTAATTAAAGAAAACATAATACAGGCACAATTTTAAATTCATACAGCTAAATCCTCTCATGAAGGCTTTCATTCTTTGAGCAACCTGAAACTACCACCTCAGTTTCTATCAGACACAGACTGGGATATTATATGAACAATTTTCTGTAATAAATGATGATCTACTTGTATCTGCTCCTGAGGCCTCCCAGGGTGAATTCGAGCGGCAGTGCAAGGTTTAGCAGCAAAGGGAAGATAAATGAGACAATTAAACAGGGCTCGATGGCACCTCTGTGACTAAAGGCTTTTCCTTCCTGCCTGCTTAAGTACAGACAAACAATAGTAAGCAGCAAAGGACAGTGTGTCCAACACTGACGGGCACACACTTAGGTGTTTATGTGCATGAGAGTGTGACTTCTCAGGTTTGCTGTAGGAATTCAGTCAGCAAACAGGCAAAGACCTGTAGACACCTAACAACACTGTGGCTGTACTGAAACATATCATCAGTAATGTATCAATTGATAATTTCTTACACATAGTATTACTGTGACAGAGCTCAGTCTTATCATTTTGTACTGACGAACATTTGTTATTTTTGAATTCATCCAGAAGTTTGTTTTCAGTCTTTTCAAATATTATAAATAAAGCACCGAGAAATTCTATACTGAACTGCTTCAAGGACTGCCTGGTCCTTGATGGTGCTGTCTTTTAAAAACCCTCACAGAAGTAAACTGTTTTCAAAGCTTTGCAGCTAAGCGGCAACCGGAGAGCAAACAAAGTCAATGTTTTTTTCTCAATTTTTAGCAATTAAAGTCCTTACTAATGGCACTGCATCTGACAGGCTAGTAAATATGTTAGTTTACCTATGAATGTGCAGCCTAGAATGTACTCTATCAACCGCTATCAGCTTCAGAGTGATGCTGCCACTTGATCACGTCTTCACTGCACAGAAAGCCAATTTACGACCCTGACTTTTTCTCTATAGATCCACACTGTTGTTGCAGCGTGTAGTTTGGCATTTTCTTGGTCCAATAAGCAATGCATTACCTGAAAAATACGCTGAACCATTTTTGGCACCTCCACAGACGTTCTTGTTATCTGTGGCATGTGCACTGATCCATCCCCGCACCTCTCAGATGTTGAGTTTTGAACTGTCATAGCTGAAAATGGGTGCTTTTGGATAATCTTTATGTATGTATTATCTTTGCAAGTGGCAACTTTTGCAAAAAAGCAAAAAACTTGTTCAGCCTTCTTCTACTCGAACTTTAGCATTTAGCTAACTCGGGCCTGTACAGTCTGAGATGTGAGATGTGTTTTTTGCAGTTTCTCTGAGTGTTGCATTGCCTGACCTTGGGGTGAATCTGCTGGGATGTCCACTCCTGGGAAGACTGGAAACTGTCGACGTAGAATGATGGACTTAAAAATGTATGGAAAAGGCTTAATAACCCTTCCCAGATTGATGGGCAGCAACAGTTTTTTCTCTGAGATCAATTATTTCTGAGATCATTGCTGATGTCTTTCCTTCTTGGCATTGTGCTATCAAATACCTGAATTCTCCATGTCTTTCATAGAGGTGCTGATGCTCAATTAATCACTTGCACTTGATTAGAGTCCTATGAAAGCAGTAAGGGGCTAATTCGTTTTTTCACACACTGCTTCTGTTTTTGGTTTCTGTTATTGAAATAATGACACTGGTAATGTGTCATGTGTTGTTAATTTTAGAACGTGCTAACGACCAGCTGATCTTTATTATGTCCTGTTACATAAAATCTTGGGATTGAAAGAGGGTATACTTTCTTTGTTACCATGTACTCAGTTGCAAGATGTTTCAACAAACCTTTTTTTTTAAATATTAAATGGCCTTCGAGCCTTTTAGTTTCTCTGTGCCAGCTTTAGTGAAATATTTTTGCAGCACCATATTCAAAATAAGAAAGAAAACTCTTAGTTTTGACATTGCTTATATTGCATTTCAATAAAATACTGAGTTTAAATGGTTTGCATATTTTCACATTCTCTTTCATTTCACACATCGGGTCAAATCTTATCATCTGACCATTTTATAATACATAACATGTCAGAGACAATGGAAACACTCTGTCTTTGGACAACAATAAGCCCTTAGTTTTAACTCTACAATCTGTGGATGTGATCTATCTGTTAGGACCTCCTTCACTCCAGTGTGCATGACAAACAGTGTACATTGTACTGCAAGATCCTTTCTACATAATGAACACTAGAGCTTTCACCTACTTCTGGATGAACTGAATGAACTTATCATTATCTAGCACATTCCTGAAAGTCACTCAATGCTGAATTCACAAAAACAGCTTAGAAGATCATTGTTTAAACTAGACCTAATTTTTAAATCACGTTTTAAAATATGATTATGTGGGCAACAAGACAGAGTGGTATGCAATAAAACTGCAGATATCTCAATAAGGCAAGTTAAAGGGTGCACAAAGGTTGAATGACGAGAGAATTTCACCAATTTATTTTTCAGGCTATGAACTTTTATTTCTGTACAGACGGAAACATCAAGAAAATGACAAGTCTCTCTAAGTATATTTTCTACCATAATGACGTAAATTTAAAATAAGCCAGTGAAAGAATCTTTAGACTAACTGAGCATACTCTGAAAAATAAACTGCTGGACTTAAACAGGGAGCATTTTACCCAGCGCACTTGAACACTTTAGTCTGCCAGTATCTCGCCGGTGTTTTAAACTAGAAGCAGAAAGTGGACGGTTAAATGACGAGGAAAAAAAAGCTCCAATAAATAAAACAGAGCCATATGTCCTTATGCATAAGAGGATACACTCTAAGTCGCTTTTGCCTGTCATAAACTGCGAGTAGGAGCGTCAGCTAATGGACAAGTGCAGGCAGAAGAGTGAGTCATACCAGTCTGCTCACAAGAACCTCATTTTCTGCCAGATCCTGTGTGATGTATGTCTGCAAGTGTGCGCGTTAGAGAGAAACAGTGAAAAACACGGAGACGAGCAACATGCATGGCGGCAGCTTAGCCGAGTGCGTGCGAGAGAGAGAGAGAGAGGAGTGCAGCAAAGAGAACAGTAGGTTTGTTGAGCAGCTCCCACAGGACAAGAACATCTTTCCGAGACGTGCTTTTAGCTGATTATGCAGACAGCGCAGCTTACATTCCACATGTTAGACAGCTTAGGTGTTACTTCACTGACAAATCTTTATTGGAACAAAACAAAACAAAAAAACAGAAAAAAGAGTGCTCTTGCAGCACCTCCAACACTGCATAAATTACAGCATTAATAACTTGTTTTTAAATTGGGACATTTTAACTGTATGTGTTTTTAATACACTTCAAAATGCTTTTAAAAATACTGGCCTGTAAACAGTCTTTTCCCTGTCACCATTTTTTGCTTGACGACCTCTTAGAACCATCCTGTGGAAAATCACTGCACAGTAAAACCTAAAATCTTGAGGTCAGAAAAATAAATACTAATATTTACTAATATAATGCATAAAAATACTACAAGAATTAAATTTTAAAGTTTTTTTCAGCCAATAAGATAACATTCAGATATTCAGAACATTGCATGAATCCTCTGTCAAACCTTACGATAACATAAAAACACTACTAAAGGCAAAATGCAAGTAACAACAAGGTATCTAAGTGATACAGCACAAGATGATGCATGTATACTTCAGCTGCACATTAATAAATATGACATTAAACTGATTCTTATAAATGTAGGAGGCACAGAATCGTTTCCATTTATGACTCAAATCATTCATGGTGCTTAAAATTCAGACGCGTGCTCTGAATTGCCTTCTGGCGTCATTTACATGGAATTCAGATGGCGTGCCAAGTGAACGCTTTCAAAAATAACCAGGTTAGTGTGTGTATGTGTGCGCGTGTGAGACTTGCATACTAAAAGGAGGCAAGTCGGTATGACGAACTGTTGCTAAGCACTGTTGGTTGCTAGGTGGTGGTGGTGGGGGAGACAGGTTTGCAGTCAGTGATGGAATCTGAGGGTTTACCTCGATTTTCATCCGTGCACGTGTCCCCCCTGGATGGATTTTTATTTTTTGGAGCTTTTTCACATTCTGCTCTCATATATACAAACACATAAATGAGCACAAGGGAATTTTAAGCAAGAGGCAATGTTCATATAAAGATTTTCTCGTCAAAAATCTGATCAATGTTTTTAAAATGTTGCATATTACTCATTAAAAAAGGCAGAACACAAACATCCGTTTGGCAGTTTCAGAGTCAACAACTGAAGAATGACTCATTTATCTCGTCTCCCATTGCAGTCATCAAGGAAAGCTGCAGAATATCTGGCAGAGGAACAGACAGAGGGAAAACCAGCACTCTCTCCGGCTTTCCCCGGGATGATTACTGTATTATATACAGCGGGGGAAAGCCTCACAGTTTGCTGGCTTCCCTCGGCGTGTCTTAAGATATTCTCCAGCGTTTTCTGCACAGGCATGTGTGACTTTTAGTAGAGTTTTTAGGTGCATCATGGAGCATACTGTGCATCCCTAGCTGGTGTCACTTCTGCCAGATAGGGTGTGATCCCGCTGGGTAAAGGTGACGGTGGGGGGGTTGGCAGGGCGAGACACGGGCAGCCATTTGTACTCGAGGTTCTGCACTGGAGGGTCCAAACACCAGTCAAAGTTGTTTAACAGGTACACGCACGCTTCCTGGCAGCGAAACACAAAAATACTGTTTTCTGGTTGTGCTTGCTCCATTTTACATAAACGAAACTTATGTAGAGTGAAGAGCTACATGGGTATAAGTGACAATTTTCTATTTTAAAGCCGAGCAAAAACAAAATGTTAAAACTGAAGGCACTTGGCAGACCTAGAGCATCCACCAACGCTGAATATGTCTCCAACTTGCAAAGCTACAGCCTCCACATCACTTCAAGCCTGTTTTTGTGTGTTCCTTTCCAGGTTTGAAAATAGCAATGCAACAACTTTTACCAGGCAAGCTGTAATGGAACATTTGGTCCTTTAGACCTGGAATCAACAATGCTTACATTCAGACACAAAATCGTACAGTTAGAAACACATTTTCCTTTGAGCAACACAGAAATTTGCATAATTTGAGGAGAAGACCTTTATTTCATTCCATATCATTTCTCTCAGTGTCACTCCTTTGTATTCCCTTCTCTTTCACTCATTCAATATATTGTTCTAGTCATCATTCTGTTTTATATATAACTATTATTCCATTCTATTACTCTATTTTAATATTTTCCAAATAACTCTATTCTATTTTGTTTAATTACTTTTTGTGCTATTTGTATTATTTTCTATTTTACTGTATTTCAATTTTCACTTCTGTTCAGTTCGTCTAGATTCTTTGCTTTCCCTCCAATACCCCATCATTCTATTGTATTATATTTGTTGTATTTATTCTATTCTATTTCATTACTTTCTATTTTATTATGTTTTTTCTACTGTGTTTCATAGCATTTCACATAATTCTATTCTCTTGTATTCAATTCTACTACTTTTTTCATGTAATTATATATATTCCTATTTTAATCTATTTTCTTCTATTCCACATAATTCTACATTCTATTCTATTATTGCCAGTCTATTATTCTATATTATCCTATATTATGAAGCATTACTTTCCATTCTCTATTCTATTTCATTTTCCCCATACATATACTATTCTATTCTATTTTATTCTAGTGAGAGCACTGAGAGCTCAGAACTGGTGATGTCATAGACAACACTCCTTACCGGCTTATCCTCAGCCATGGACCTGTCTAACCAACACATATTTCCCCTGCGTCTCTCCACTTTATGAATGAAGATTTTCCTTGTGAGGGGGAGGATGAATGAACGGGGAAGGATCAAGGGAGTAACGGAGAGGAGAGGAGAGGGAATGAAGGGAGAATTATGAGAGGGGGGTGGGTAGCGAGGACGACAGGGGGAAGGATGAAGTGAGGCGATGAGTCACATCTCTGACCTAGATCCCTGCAGTCTACTTTTTACTCTGGTCATGCCCTCATCCTTCTGTGTGTCTGTGTGTGTGTGTGTGTGTGTGTGTGTGTGTGTGTGTGTGTGTGTGTGTGTGTGTGTGTGTGTGTGTGTGTGTGTGTGTGTGTGCAAATGGTCACCCTGCTGAAAGCCAAGCAGATGTACTTTAATCTGCCAGTCTGATCTTTTCTGTAATTAAGCACGGTAAGAGACGTAATCAAACACATGCATCATTAAAGCAAAGCAGATAGCTCTGTTATAAATTTATCATAATTAACTATTTAAAGACAGGATTAACAACTTAAAAACTGAGATAAGGGAAGATTCTGTTTGAGCAGCAAAATAAAAGCAGTAAAAATATAGTGTACATTTGTGTTGTGAAGCAGCATCAAACACTGATTCAGTCCTCTCTAAACTAAGAGGCAACGCTGCTGATGGATGCCAGTCTGTATCATTTAATTTAGAATGTACTTAAAAATATCCAGTAAAGTCAAATAAAAGAAATTTTATTAAAACTGTACACATCAAAAGTAGAATAATTTTTATAAATGTAAATTAAATATATAAAAGTGTAAATAGTAAAACAGGAAGAGAACACCTGTGCGATCTATTCCGAGCTCTACATCTATACAGCTTTAATAAACTACATCATTTCTTAAGCATCTGCATTTAACACTTTTTCATTTTTTTAAGTATCAGAGAGGTGGTAATTCTACTTTGTGTATTCACTACTGTGGCCAAATATATCGATATCTCCAGAGACAGAGACAAATCATGACAATCGTAAATAATCCAAAACAAGCAACTGATTATCTATGATGAGTAATCCAATTTGAAACAATAACTGTCCTGCTGAAGAGGGACAATAGCCGAACGAGGAGAGACATTAAACTGCTTTGAACTACACCTGAGCTCCACTCAATCACACCCAACATTTTCAGTGACTCATAAGTGTGAGTGCAGGGTTGAGTCATCCCTCACTGTTGCATTTTAGATAGCGTGCATTAACACCCCCATGTATCTTGCTGTTTTTACTGTTAAATAATCTGAGAACAAAAACATATAAATGATGTCTTAGTGCAGTGGTTCCCAATCTTTTTTTGCTGGGCCCCCCTTTGTTTTACAAGAAAAATGTTTGCACATCCTCCAACCACACACACCCATATTTTGCTCCATTGCGGGTTTTTTTTCACACCTCAAACATTTAGTAAACAATTAAACAAATACAAGTAATCTGCAATAAATTACAGGTAGTAATAAAATAAACTACTAACTCTTTTAGGCTACGTCCGGACCTACACGGGTATTTTTGAAAATCACCGAAAATGGAGATTTTTTAAAACTCTTTTTTTTGCTTTTACGTGTGGACGAGGAATACGGAGTTCGTCACGCGACATCAAAGGTATGTGCCCTTTTTCACGTCACGCTGTGGCCACGTTTACATGAGATGAATTGCAGAATGGCAGATAGAGACAAAATACTGTCAATCTTACTATCTTTAGGTTTTACACGCTTACATTTACACACGAAGTTACTGTCCCTCCATTTAGAAAGGCAGAGTCACGGTGTAATTATTTTACATGTAGTTTTTTTTTTCATGTGTAATAATATTCAACGTTGCTATCAATGCATTTTTCAAAAAATGCCTCTCTGTGCAAAATGGGTTTAAAAATATAAACAACTTTAGGATACTGTTAGTCCATGATTTGAACAGCCCAGCGCTGCTCGAGACACAGGGAAAACCAATTCTGCAGGGAGACCTACCTCGGCACTTGTGCAGGTGAAACCAAAGGGAAGACCTGCTTCACCATATTTTCTAGTCTTTGGCTTAGAATGAAATTGGTTTGGAAGCATATTCAGCGATGCTTCATCTCCTGCTTTGCGTTTCTGTGGGCGCCCTGTGCTAGCAATGTCTTTCAGTGAAGAAAACAGGACAGCTCTTGACCTTGGGAGACTGCTGCCCACTGGCTAACAATAAAATGCAAAATATGAGCCCTGTCACCCATCCAAAGATTTTTCTTTTTTTCAGAAATGTGCTTGCTCTTTTTTAAATGTTTACTGGCAAAGTCTATTATTTTTGTTTGTTGGTTGGTTATAGACTTTGACAATGATGCACCTGCCTCCTCAAGAGCAGCGGTCCAAACCCCCGGGCCATGGATCGGTACTGGGCCGTGAGAGCTGAGGCTCGGGTGTGAAATTTATGGTTTTCATGTTTTTTACCATTAACTCGGTTTCCCTGGATCTTTTCCTGTGTTGCAGTTGTGTGTCTTATTTTGAAAGAAATATTTACGTGTTACCATTGCGACCAGAAAGCATTAAGGGGCAGAGAGGAGGATGTTACTCTTAATGTTGTTGGCACATTTCAGGAGGACGCTGCTAATAAAGTTACACAATTACACAGTGAATTCGCATTTATTATTATAGTTACAAAATACCACCGTTTTTGTCTTGGTGATATCATTTTATTTTGTTGTATTTATCCGCGACACCTTAAAGGCTGGCCCATGAAAATATTGTCTGACATTAAACTGGTCCATGGCACAAAAAGGTTGGGGACCGCTGCCCAAGAGGGTTCCTCACTTGGTGAGGTGTTGTGAAGCAGTTTTTCTCAACCATGAAAATAATTTTGTGATCATCCACATCAGTTGTCTTCTGTGGTCTTTCACTGAAGCAGTTTTTCTTTTTTGGTTTTTAGCCACTCCTGAAATTTTTGCTATCACTTTGATACGTTTGCTTTTCATCCTTTACTTGCATTCGATATATTTTTAGATTTTATATTGCCAGTACCAGCAAAAAGCTACCAAATGCAAGTTAAACAACTCCAAGGCTTAAATGTCCATGAAAATGCCGATCAGTCAATTGCACAATAAGTTTTCAGCCTCTGAAAATGGGCGATTATATCTATAAAGAATTTCCCCTAGGGATCAATAAAGTATTCTGATTCTGATTCTATAAAAATCGCTGTAATTCCTAAACAGTTAATGCAATACTTACTTTAAACCCCTTGAAATAAAGCTGAAAGCCTGCACATCAATAACATCCTGATTATTTAATTAAAAATAAACTGAGTAGGTGAACTAGTTTAACTAATTAGTTTTAGTAGATTTTAGTCTAAGTAGATTTATTAGCCAACTACATTTTGTACAGATATAGTTAAATACTAATCACACAAATGCTCTGCTTTTCCTGGGTGTGTGGGAGATATTCCTGTGTGTCCTTCATTGCGGTAATGTTAGCATCTGAGTACCTCTTTTGAGGAGGTTTAGAAAAAACTGAAACACCGTTCTAACAGTGCTCTGAGAATCCAGACTGAGTTATTACAGTCACACTAATATATGACAGAGCAATACAAGAACAAAAACGCTCCTTTACTTCAAAGTCTTGTACACAAGCAAGCGTTGTTGTCTTGTGAGCAAGGGGATTTTCTTTTCCTGAGGCATGCATGGATGCAGCTAGGCTTTTCATGGCCATCGAAACATTTAATTCATATTTATGAGTAATTTAACAGGACTCTTGTTTTGAAAAGAAACATTGTAATACATAAAAATTCATGGTGCTAACGTTATCAAATGACCTACTGGATAAAATCTGTAGCCATTTCAACCAAATCTTTGGCAAATATGCAGAAATAAGAAGCTTGCTTTCATCTACCACAGCCTAAAAACAAAGCTGGTCACAGATAAATCTGTAAATCAGTGACAACTGAAAGTCTGTAATATTTCCTGGAAATCCACTGGCTCACAGTATTTGTTGTTGACTTGGTGTCACCACTTTGACTTTCCAGTGTCAAGCTGACAACACATACGCACACGTTTATTTACGTGCCCTCCTCTTTCTAGAAGGAATGCCCCCACATGGGAAATTAAATCTCTTTGCTTCCTGTTGTCACACCTGTAACACACCTGTCTTGTTCTCATGGCTGCGTGTGTATATGCGTGTGCCCAGTATATAGGCAACGGCAGCTATGGTGAATATGCCTTTGGGATTGTGAGGTGGTTAAAAGGGGACAGTCAGTGCCCGGATCTTTCCCTCTGGTATATCTAATAAACACACAGCCAGCCAAGCATTTCGTCATTCCCATGAGCAGTGCTCTATTTACTGAATGGTTGGGGGATGGTTTCCTTCTCTGACTGGTTTTTCCACTGTGTGTGTGTGGGCATGTGTGTTGGGGGGGTTGCACAGCCACAATCAGTTGAGCCGCAGCTGTCATCCACAGCTGGCTCGCTGTGAGCGTTTTTCCCAGTGCACTTCAGAGAAAGGTAAAGTAGTTGACCTGTTCTGCTAATGAAGCTCTGCTAACTCTGTGTTAAACTGTAGGCTATAAAAGAAAGATGCGGCCACCAGGTCTAAAAAAACCCCAAAACAATGAAGCCAATACAGAAGTGCTGCAAACCTGGACTCTAATGTCTAATGGCCAGCCGGGGGTTGAGTTCTTTGATTACCCAAGGAAAGAGGCCAGTTACATATCAGTCAATTACCTTTCTGCTCACATGGCATGCAATCTCAGTGGACTCTTTATTGGTAACTCTGTGGGCTCAATCACTGGTTTCACGTCTTAATATATATGTCATGATGTCTATGTTGTAACTTGTGGTCCTTGCTAGTATAGGGTTGGACCGTAGCCACAGTTTCTTGTTCTTAGCAGACAAAGTTCAATGTGTTGTGTGTTCAATACACATTAGTTGGAGCAAGTAGGTATTTAAGCTACTGCTACCTTTCTATCATCTTGAAGCAGTCTGGCCGGACTCTAGTCTTTTTTGGACGGTTCTCTATAAAACCTAGAGATGGTTGTGTGTGAAAATCCCAGCAGATCAGCAGTTTCTGGATTACTCAGACCAGCCCATCTGACGCCAACAACCTTACCACATTCAAAGTCACTTAAATCACCTTTCTTCCCCATTCTGATGCTCTGTCTGATCTAAGGAAGGTCATATTGACCATGTCCATACATTAATGAGTGTTTGAACAGGTATACCAAAATAAGTGGCCCCATGGTGTGGAGGTTTACACATTCGCTTAGCAAGCAATTCTCCTTTTGAATTGCGTCAGAAAGGAGATCCAACATAAAACTTTGCCAACTTTGCATGTGGAGCAACTTGCTGTGGTGACCCCTTGTCATTAAGGAGCAGCTTATCAAAGTAGCTTGATAAACTGCTATGCACAAGGTAGCATTATCCTCTGTTTCTCTGTTCTGACTCACACGTTTCATCTACGTTATATTTCCTCTAACTTTGAACAATAACAGCATCTGTCAGTTTACTAGCTTAAGCTATTACTGTAACCGCTACAAATAGCAACCTCTTTACAAATGACAGATATGGTTAGTTTAGACCCCCCTCCCCCATTTACATACACAATTAATTACAGTTAAAATAATATCTAAACATACAACAATAACTGAACCCTTTAATCACACTTAACACAGATGCAGTAAACAGGTTCACGCTTAGCTGTTTTTGCATTAAAGGATTGACATGAGAAGCTCGAATCAGATCTCAGTGCAGGAAAATTTAGTAAAGATGCTGTTATAGGTGCCGTATCTCTGTGGTTTGCATAACGTTTTAACGCATATGGCCTACATATTCCCCAAAAAACCCCAAACAAGACACTGAATTTTTGTTTGACTGCGGAAAACACAAATATCTTTTTAAGAGGATTATGAAGTTTCTATTTTTACATTTAATGATAACTCTTTAACTAATTTAACTAAACGTTTAAGACTTGTTTACACAACATCTAGAAATTATATTGCTGATGTTCAGCATCCGGAGTGTGAAAATCTAAATTAAGAACTTCTTGTCAATTCTTTTTTGAAAGATATTAGTTTTGCTACAGACAACCTAACTGGATGCCTCAGTCTCACATCAGTAATATTTCGCTCAACTGAGACCTTACTTCACATCTGATCAGCTGCATCGCTTGCTTCGTCTCTAAAGAGGATAAATCCATTGCAAGTAAACTTTCCATCGACTTTTCAGCCGATTTCCCTCCACATGTAACCCAGAAGCCCAAAATATAAAATGCAGAGCTGAGGCTCAGAGACCACAAATCTTTCAACAAGCCATTAAATGCACCAGAGTCTCAGAGAGGAAGTAAAAAAAAAACCCCAAACCCCCCCAGAACCCACATAAAAAACCTTTTATGTTAAAGAAGTCACTTTTACAGTGATAATTAAAGAGTGTGTGTCGATGTATTCTTTGTCACGCTTGTGTGTGAAGGTCACCTTCAGAAAGACGTTGGTAAGTTTAGCTCCGATGCAGCTCCTGGGCCCGTTGCCAAAGGAACACAGGAAGTGCTCATGGCCTTCGTTCCTGCATATGCAAAACACAAGAGCTACAATTAAATTTTGCATAGGGTAGACAAATCAGAGATGCAAAAATCAATCAATAATCTATCTTGAACAGACTTCACAAACGTCAATCAAAAGGTATATCTTGAAAAAATGATTTTAAAAAAAGATGCACGTTATGCAAACTTATCCCAAATGGTATTTGAGGTTGTTTAAAAAAAATAGCTATTTAAAGTTGTGTTTCATCCATGAGAAATTCACAGCATGGCATATGACCATATTTAAATCTGATATAGACCAACCAGAGATGTATCTTGTAGATTTTTTTGTCAATACAAAGTATTTTTTAAGTTAGTTGTTCAAACTAAAACACCCTGACTGTTTTTTTCAGGTCATTGTTTCACTTTATGTTTCACTTTACTACTGACAAAAAAAAGGGCACTAAGAGAAAGCAGGTCTCCCACCAAAGCCAATTCTCTCATCTCTCACTTTTAAAGACAATGAACTGCAGCTTCTCTGTGGGCTCTTCTTTTGCCCACACTCCACCTCTGCACCAAGTTTTATGGCTTTGTAGTTGTTTGTCTATCTGATAGAAATGCTGACAAATGGCACCAATCGCTTGCCTCCATCTCAGCTCTTGGCTGGGTGAAGAAAAAATGTGTACAAAGAATAAGGAGAGCATTGCTGCACGGTGATGCTCATCATCAAAAACTCTACAATGCATCATATAAAACACCCAGAATTCTCGATCAATCCAGCTGACCCCTCTCTCTTTGGCACAAAAGACAAATAAATTAGACCTCAAAGGAAACCAACCAAGAGTGCAGCTTAGAATGAAGTTCCACAAGACAAATGAACAAAAATCAGGGACCCAACTTTACTTCATCATGCCTGCTTTCTAATATTTCTTAAAAATATACTTAAGAAAGCAGGTCCTTTCCAACCATTACTCAATATCCATCTGATGCAGGCCGTGTCTTGCCTCTAATGGATCCTGTCTTCCTGAAACCTGAGCTCTGATTAAAAGCAAACAGGAAGCATTAGTGGTGCGTATAGTCTGGGTCCACTGTGTCAGATGGTTTGTGTGTGTGAGAAGTGTTATTATTAGTGTCCTCGCTAGCATCTGACTAATGGTTTAATGTACTATTAGGTACATCCTGAAACAGTAAGATGTGCGGCGTACACTATAGGAAGGGAAAGGAAGTCTTACCAAGCACTCCATCGTAATGCTATATCAAATATGTTGAGTGGATAGGAAGTGAATCAGAGCAGTATACTCTTGTGTGAAGTATAATTCATTTTTCTGCAATAAAGTATAATGAGAAAGCTCTGTGAGAGATCATGACTGAGGCCAAGAGGGCATCATCAGATTAATTATTAGATAGGGAAGACAGGGAAGAGGACGAACAAATAGCTGCAGATCACTTAAAAACTCTCATCATTTATTTTCATTTGCATCTTGTTGCATTTAAAGTTCAATGGCAAAAAAAACCCTACATCAAAGTTGCACTCACCAGTCACTTCATTAGGTACACCTGTTCAACTGCTTATTAACACAAATATTAACAGCATTAATGACCTGCTGAAGTTCTAAGTGAGAATCAGAATGAGGAAGAAAGGTGATTTAAGTGACTTAGAAGGTAGGATGGTCGTCGGCACCAGATGGGCTGGTCTGAGGATTTCAGAAACTCATGATCTACTGGGATTTTCCCACATAACCATCTCTAGGGTTTACAGAGAATGGACCAGAAATGAAAATATCCAATCCAAGAAGGCAGAGCAATGGTTCTCTGCCTTGTTGATGCCAGAGGTCAGAGGAGAATGGCCAGACTGGTTTGAGCTGACAGGGAGGCAACAGTAACCTTGCAACAGCAGAATAAGACCATGACAGATGCTACTTCTGTTGGCTAAAAACAGTAAATGTAGGCTACAGTTCACGCAAGCTCACCAAAACTGGACAACAGAAGACTGTAAACAGCAACAGTTCGGGCTGGTGGTGTGGGGAATATTTTTTTAGCACACTTTGCGCACCTTAGTACTAACTGAGCATTGTTTAATGTCCATCCCTTTATGACCAACACACCCATCTTCTGATGGCTGTTTCCAGCTTGATAACATGACAATGCAATTACTGTACTCAAATGGCTTCCAACACATCTCAATCCAATAGAGAACCTTTGGGATGTGGTGGAACGGGAGGGTCACATCATGGATGTGCAGCTGACAAATCTGCAGCAACTGTGTAAAACTATCATGTCAACATGGACCAAAATCTCTGAGGAATGTTTCCAGCACCTTGTTGCATCTACGCCATGAAGAATTAAAGCAGCTCTGAAAGCAAAAGTGGTCCAACACAGTACTAGCAAGGTGCATCTAAGAAAGTGAAGTGTGAGTTTATAGCCTAGCTCATGTGCCAAACTTGAGGCTTAGGAACACTAGTGCACAAACTAATGGGCAGCATCTTGAATTCTATGTGTCATTTATATGCAGTCTATTATTTTAAAACGTAAAGCCTATTATCAAAACTGTTATACTTAGTTCAACTAGACTATGACAAACTCCTGCCATTATCTTTATGAACTGGTGACTCTGGTTTGTGTCGTTTCTAAGAATTCATACAGTGGCTGACGTACGCAAACACAGACATTTCAGATAATTTCTACTTCAAATTAAAAAAAAGATGTCTCTCACTATTTTTGGAGACAAGAAGAAAAGTCCCTATTCTCGGATTTATGTGAAACTAGCAACACAGCCCACTGCAATAGCTAAGATTTTTATCTGTGCTTGGTAGCATTTCTGATTCACTTATCTAGGGCCAGAGTCTGTGTGGGCGTTGAGCTGATAGGATGTTAACTTGCCAGCTCCAATATTTGCCTCCAACAGGAAAAGCACACATACACAATATACGACGAGTATGAACGGGAACACACACGGTAGATAATACACCCAGCTACTGCCCAAAAAAATAAAAAATAAACAGATGAAACTGTGGTGATTGTAGGTGGGCTTGTTATGTAACAGGACTGCAGTCATTAAATTAAACAGCCAGGTGGCAAGAAAATGAGCTGGGCAACTATCAAGAGAGACAGGAAACCAGTCACCAGGAAGACTGGCAGATGGAAAACCAGAGACAGGAACAGTTGGGAGGAAAGGGAAACAAACACGGTGATAAATGAAAAATAAAGACAAGCAAAGACAGGCAGCAGAGGTTTGCACGGCAAGGATGAAAGATATATCAGCTTTGGTCGCACAGATCGCTTCTCAGGGTTCAATAAAATTTACTGACAGTAAGAAATATCAAAAAGGTGACCAGAATCATCCATACAAATATACACATCTTCTTAATGTGGATGACTCACACCTTTATTGAGGTATAGTCAAACTTCTAGCGCCTACACTCCACGTTTCATCTTTGTCTTTTGTTTTTTTTTGTGCAGTTTCTTATTAATGACTTTTCTAGAGTTTTCTTTTACATCAGACTATCTCAAGGAAAATCTCCTCTGACTCACTCCTTAACCCTGCACCATCTTACCTGATGCTCACACACGCAGACACAAAGCATGCCATCTATTCATTCATAGATTTCTCTTCTCAGCTGAGTGCTCTGTTCACACACTTCAGAGTATTTAAAATGGTGTCCATTTCCAGGCTAAAAGTATCTGCCTGTTAGGCAGACTGAACAGATTTTTGACTCTTTTTTTTTTTTTTTGCGCTATAAGTATCTAGTTGGATCTACGTCTTAAGTTATTAAGCTGTTTTAGGATAATTTCTTTTTTGAGTTTGTGTACCATCTTCCATCTGTGTCTCCTTACTTCACAGATGGAAGACCCCCAGTTCGAGACCAGAAAGAAGCACAAACCCAGCCTCAGGGGGTAAGAAGCTAGTGTGCTCCCAGTGCTGGTTCCCAGCTCCGATAAATGGAAGGGCTGCATTAAGAGGGGCGTCTGGCATAAAATCTGTACCAAACCAAATATGTGGAATCGTCTGGTGTGACGACCCCTTGGGAAAAGGTAGAAAGTACCTTCTACTTTAATACCTGAGAGAGTTAATCTATGCTGTAAATGCAAACCCCTCTGAAATCCAATGCCGTAACCTGACTAAAGCTCGCACTGTGACTGTTGAATTCAGCACCATCAATTCCTCCTGAGCTTTTCCGGCTATTTCTTCTGCTTCCATTTTTCAAACCGATCGGAAGATAATGGATCAGCTCAAAGAGAGAAACTCCAAACTGCCAACTGTAACATTAGATTGCTTCATTTGGTGTGATGGTTTTATCTGGTTTAAAATAAAAGTCAACACGTAATTAGGTTAGTTTTAACAAGATAAGAGTGAAGAAGAGGTCTCTACACACACCTTCAAAAATGACAACTGATGGCAGTAGATTTCTCTGCTCAACAAAAAAGTAAATAAAGTAAATATATGCAGTATATATAAGAAATTCAACATTATTACTGTTTCATCGCAAAAAGGATGGGAGCTTCTCTGACTCATTCTTCTGTAACCCATCACACTCTTTCCCAGGGCATCATGGGAGAGAAAAAAGCTTCTCCCCCCACTCTACACACAGACACACACTCACAGAAATACACACAGGGGAATCCCTATTGGTGAAGATACTGACAGGTGACCAGTTTCCATGGCAGCAGCTTCCTTCCTACATACATACATTCATAGTTTTTTTCTCCACTCTCTGTCACATGAGAGAGAGAGCATGAATGACAATAAACAGTTGAATGAAGGAAGTGAATGAACAGATGAATGGCTGACAGAGAATGAGCCAGCTTGGGTTTCATTTTACCAGAGCAGGTAACAGACAGAGAGTCTTTATGCATCTCCTTTTGTATTCAGAAGGCTTTTTTATTTTACTTTCCCAGCAGACAGTCTGAGCAAGTACATGTAAAAGCGATGCAGTCAGACTTGTGTGCTCAGGCGCTGTTATCTATCTGCATTGGTTGCTATAGTAAAGACGTGGGCGTATGTATATAAAGTACTAACCAGCACTCTTTTCTGCTTTGCGGTCATAAAACAAGTTGTAGAACAGACTATTGATTTAATCTTGCTGTCATCTATTTTAAGAGTGCATTTCTATCCAGTAAAACTGTGCATTTTAGTCTGACTGCAGCAAATGTGGCCTAAACCCCCTCAGCTATTCTTAAAGTTATCATTGAAACAGGAAGTTATTGTGTGGTACCTGCTGCAATTAGTAATCCATTATCTGTGCCTATGTTAATACAGTATAACTTTGTCATTTAGTCACGTCATCAACAGCTTCAGAACCTCTTCAGCTGTTCATACTTTCTGTATAAGCATAATACTGTGCTATAAAGACTGAACATGGTGCATTTCCAACAGGGTGAAGAACCCAACACAGAGATAGTTTTTACAAGGTGCTGAACTGAAAATATAATCGACAACACAGGTATTCACCCTGCCTGCGCAGCAAGCCATTTGGCCATTATATAATGAAGCTAAAGCATTTTGGGGATATGTAAATTGTGACTAGCATTATATTTGCCATATGTGCACCCATCAGGTATAACATTATGACCACCTGCCTAACCGTGTGTTGGTCCCACTCCCAAAAAAGCCCTGACCCATCAAAGCATGGACTCCACCAGACCCCTGAGAGTGTGCTTTGCTATCTGGCACCAAGATGTTAGCAACAGATCCTTTACAGTCCTGTAAGCTCCGAGGTGGGGCCTCTGTGGGTCAGATTTGTTTGTCCTGCACATCCACAGATGCTCAATTGGACTTAGCTGGCGTTTGGGGTGGCTGAAGCTCGAGAGGTAGAGCAGATCATCTACTATTTGGAAGTCCATTTAACTCAACTCATTTTACTCAAACTATTCCCGAATCATTTTTGCTTTGTGGCATGCCTCAAAGCAGGGTCCATTACTATAATTCTTTCTTTTCAGATTTTATCGAGTGCCTTATAAATCACTATACGTATAAATGCACACGGAAGAAAATGCTCTATTATTTATTCTTTTATCTTTTTCTTTGTGTTTTTTTAAACATCTTTTTGTGACGCATTTCCTCGATCCCTGATGTGTCACAGCACTAAAAGCTTCCTCCCACTTACTCTTTCTAATGCTGATTGTGTTTGACTGTGCAAATGTGGCGTGTTTGTAAGTATGTATCAGTAAGGGAGTATAAACAGAACTGCCCGTTTGCTTCCTTCTTGTTTGATCTAAGAAATTTTCAGAATAACAAACAAAACAAAAAAAATTCACCATTTTTTTTAATTTTACCATTTTTTCCATTGGTCCACAAAGTCCTGTCCGTTCTTGAAGCTATTTTGTCAGTTTACAATTTTTTACTCTTTGGCTGTGTGTCAGTCACATTTATTTAATGTGCAGGTCAATCCAACAACATCAAGAAAACCTATGTTTGAAAAAAAAGCCCATGAAATTAACACCTCATTTGAGGCACAGCTCATATATTTTAAGTCTGTGGGAAAGCCTTGATTAATAATGTTTTTCCCTGAAAGACTGATACATTACCTTTTCAAGGCTGAAGTTCTAGGCATAATTGATTGCTTTTTCTAAAGACATTAATGACTAAATACTGCATGGTTTGCGACTTTCGGTGATGCTGGGAATGACTAGAAACCTTCGTTTTAACCCTCGTGCTTTTTCATGTTCTTGTACAATACTCCTCTTCATTGGTGCTAGGATACCAGAGACACTTTGGTCTATATCTGTAAAGAGCTGTTAACTCGATAATAGTGTTGTCAAAAAAGAAAGGAAAAGATACTAACTGGTCCTCAAAATTACTGTTGGATTATATACTCGTTTGCAACAGTACTGTTACCATTAGTGCTCTCCTCGTGCCCTCCAGTTGACACACAACTTCACACTGCACTGCTGTACTTTCACACTATGAGGAATTTTGAGAGGTCAGTAGCGCTCCTGTTTCATCAGCACTGAAGTATTAAACCGTTATCATAAATGTTTACCTGGCTGGCGCGTACATTAACATTTGCTGTTTAACTATTAGCAATTGACCATTTACTACTTAGTTAGCAGTTACAACTAAATAAAAAAACGATAACATTAATGTTGGAGTAAGTAGCAAAACATTATCTAATTTCCCTGACTGTAGTTTTAAAAGACAGCATAAGTTTTACAGTATAACATAATTATTTGGGTTTGAAGAGAGTTATTTTTCTCTTAAAGGCAGTCAGCAGATTGAATGTGAGAAAAGTTCATCAGCAACTACACAGAAACAATAGCAGTCTACTTTAACTGCTCTGTTTCATCAGCAACAAAAATATGGTACCAAGTCACCAGAAGCGCGGCACTACCTCACTGCCCCTCGTCCTTTTGTGTTTATGTGTTGGGTTTTTTTCACTACCATTTTACAATCTTTAAACATTTGTCATATCTACACTTTGCATTAGTGATGCAATTTTTTGCACCATATCAGGCAACTTAAAAAAATCGTGTTGTCATTGATGTTATTGTTTGCATTGTTCTAATTTCTGTTTTGTAATGACTCTATTTTCCCCCATAGTATTGACAATGGTATCAAGTATTTCCAAGGTGTCGACATCGAGTTTGAAATTCTACTACCACGATGACACTCCTTGACAACTAGAAAATAAAATAAAAGAATGAGAGAAAAGATCCTCACCTTCCGCTCCATCTCTCTGGCAGGAAGGCATCAGGCTCCTGAAACACCTCTGGGTCGCGATGGACGGCATGGCTGATATAAATCACACCAAAATCTTTAGGAACATGAAACCCCATGAGCGTGGAGTCCTACACAAACATACAGAGAGACATATTCACATTATTTTCATATTATTAAATATCATGTGGGTAACAAACTTGGCTTTGAAATGCTTTCCTGGTCTTTTACTGAACGCTTGTGTTACTTTACACTGCATTTTACATGTGTACATACGCACCTGACCTGCAGTGAAAATGGCACAATTGTAAGAAAGAAACTTTTGACTCTTTCCCCCATAAAGACAACATTTGGCAAAAAGGGGAAAGGGTTAAAAACCCTTTTAAACCACAGTGAATAGGCCCCACTTTTAATTCTGAATAAAAACTCAATTTTAAACAAAATATCCCGGGCCCAGTTTTCCATTAAGCCCTGGTGAAAAGAGCCACCTTGGGGCAAAAAGACCAATTGTTGCCCTTTTAAATCACCTTTTTCACTACATCCATTAGCAGCCGCACTAATGGACTGCCGGAGAACATGATCACTGTTTCTCTTTCCTGTGCACACTCATTTTTCTCTCTGCCTCTCTCTGGTGGAGTGGAAAATCTCTTTCATTCTCCCTCTTCTCATTGAGAAATGCCTCAGCACTTGGTTTCATTCTTTCTCCCTCCTCCCCTTTCTCTCATTCACTCTTGCACACAGGTTGTAAAACACCACTGCATATCTTAGTTCCACCTGATGGGAGGATCCACTTTTTTCCACCTGATTGTGAATACTAATGACCACTCATTCTCCTACACACTTCCCTGCACACATAAACATCTCATCAGTCCTTTCAGAGCAGGCGCAGCACTTGCCTCTTGCATTTTCTGGCAGGGCATCAGCTATGGCACTGGCAATATGTCATTATTAACAGCCAGTTGTCTTCAAAGTACTGCTTTTCAAACTTTAGCTGGAGTATCTTTAAGTATACAAATATTCTCACAGCTGCTCGAGTCACTGTAGATATTCTAGCGCCCAGTCCTGTAAGTCTTGCTCGTGCATTTGTGTTTATCTTATTTATATCTCTGTATAAACCACTGACGCTGGCAAGAATGGTGCACTGGTATGTTTCACAGGAGTGACAAAACTTTCCACTCCGCTTCAGAGCATCACCAGTTCACTTTACCCTCACTCGAAAACACTGGCACCACCGTCCCCTCCCACACTCGCTTCCTTCCGGAGGGGAAGCGGAGGAAATCGATCACAGAGAGAGATCAATGTCTCTGATTGGACTGTTGCATAAGCCTGTTTGCTGAAGTCACAGGGTTCAAAGACTGCCACGGAGGGAAGAGGCGGACACACTGTTGAATTCCTCATCCTTGGGGTAAAAGCAGTCAGTAGGCGGTAAGTCGAGACGACGTGGGCTTTGACTATCAGGCAGATGTCTGATCAGTGTACAGATTACATTTTACTAGACTTTTCTCAGCAAACACGCCTACAAAATATCAGTTTACATAATCACATGAGAACCAACGGACCATGCACAGCAAACAGGGTGAAAGGAAAAATAATAATACAATTAAACAAACTTTAAGATATTATAATAACTGACACGTGGAGTGGTTTACCTGTGGTAAACCTCACAGCTGGGCGAACCTTCACAGCTGTAGTTGTAAAAGCACACAAATAAAGGTTTCAAGAGGACTTTCACTAACACTGACTGCTACTGTGAGAGAACAGAAGAAGTCTCGAAACGACTGTAAAGTTGAATTACCGCATTTGAAGATATACAATATTTATTTACTAAGTCCTTCTGCAGGACAGCATACACAGACAACGCTCTTAGAAAAGTCTTTCATCTACAGTCAGCTGTCGCCATCTAGAGGAAGGCAGAGCAAGACAAAACAACTAATGCTTACTACAAGTACTACTACAACTACTTCTACCTCAGGATTAAAATTATAAACACAAATACAAACCATAAAATATCTGAAAACACAGGTTTGCTGGGAGGTATTTCAATAGCAACCTGTTCACATGCTGCTAGATTTATTTCCTTTGAATTCAGCAAGTTTTTATTGAAGTGCAAATTGTGCTGACTGGTGATGTCTGAGCAGGCTTTGGTTTCATGCAGGTGAAGAGTTCATGTGGACCAAAAACAGGAAAAGGATTTGCCAAAATGCAATCCACTGAAACTACTGGTCATCTGACAATGACTAGGCTTTTTAAAAATGCAACAATCCGCAACAGTAAACAATCTGTCCCAAAGATTAGTCATTACCCTAAAGGCTAAGTCACCAGACTAACCAATAAGTTCCCAATTTAAGTCATTACTGCTGCAGGGTTGTATTTTTTCAGTTGTTAAATATTCTCATGATGATGTTCACTTCCGCACTCATAAACTTTGGACCTCTGAATAGAACTAAATAGATTCTGCAAAAAGTTTTCTAACTGACCAGATGAGTGGTGGAAAAATCAGACGTGTTTGACATGGATACGAAATTAAAATCTTCATTCTCTTTCACTTTTAAGACATTACTCACGGTATAATTGTGCTAGATGAGGAGCACTGGCTCATTCACTGAAATTTACATAAAAACTACCTGATCAGCTATTCTGCGTCCACCAATGAAAGGAGGCCATAGCCTCTGCACCTCCAGCAGCACCCGGCACAGGTAATCAGGGTCTTCTGCTGCTTGACGACGGGCTTTCTCCTGAACATGGAGACAGAGACAACGAGCTGTATGTCAGAGCACAAAGATTTTTACTGAAAACTGAAACATTTTACATATAGAGCCTACATGAATCTCAAGTCCTGCTGATGCTGACGTTTGAGTTATACTGGTAAGGCTCAAAATTAGAGGCGTGGGATGACAGCTTTGATTGCTTTAGTTTTTTGTGTCTTTAAAAAAAAAAAAAAGTAATCAGGTAATGGCATGGTGGATGTCCATCGTTTATTTTCTTTAAGTTTCCTTGAAGACGTTTCACCTCTCATCCGCGAAGCTTCTTCAGCTCTTCAGAATTGAAGAAGCTTCTCGGATGAGAAGTGAAACCTCTTCAAGGACTCTTAAAGAAGTCCAAACATTTTCTTTCCAAGCTCCTTAGACCACTGCATGTTGATGTGTACAAATGGCTAGCAAACATCGCAGCTAGCTGGCTAACCGTAGCTTCAGGTTTGTTTTTTTGTCCCTGTGTAAACTGCATTTTTGAGTATGTTGAGCATTTTTGAGTCCTTCTTGACAGTATGATTGGTGGACTCCATTTCTACCTTAACACTGGCTTGTTTTGATCACTGTTAGTATTTTATGAGGCACTAAGACAATCAGCTTAACGGGGATTTTATACTTCAGTGTTAAATCTACGCCGTAGGAACACTGTAACCAGAAACCCTTCTGAAACACTACACTGTAACGTACTGTAATGCTATCCCTGACCTGACACACACCTCCCTGGAAAAGTAGCTAAATGTTGAGTCAATGCTATCTACAGCTTTTGTGACTGGCCTGTTTACTACCGTGGATTCCTCCTGCGCATTCATGGCTGCTTTTCCTGCAGTTGTTGAATAAACGTGAAAGAACAATAATCACTGCCTTTACAAAAAGATATAACAAGTTGGGTAACACTAATGTTCCCTCTTTTTATTGTAAACTCTTCTCCTGTATTTGTGTACCTGTCCATTCCCACCGAGTGCCAATGTGAAGGAGGTGAGCAGTGATGCCAGGGCTTTCGGGATCAGCGCTGAAATGAACAACAGGAGGTGCTGGGCTGCAGAACTTGAGTCAGGCAGCGGCAAAGAACCAAGAGAGCCAACAAAACTGGAGAGGGCCGCAGAGACAGAAAAGAAAGAGAAAGGATCCTTAATCAAGGGCCACTTATACAAATCAGAGCATCAGTATAGACCCAAGGCCTCCACTAGAGTCTGATTTATGTTTGAAAGGAGAGATTTATACATCATTTAACTTCAGTCAAGTCAAGTTTATTTGCGTAGCATTATTCAGACACAAGAGGAACAGAAAGTGGAATACAAAACATATAAAACATATCTGTCTTGATATAAAACGTGCACAAACAATCCGGATAGAAATGTAACTATTTAATTGAGAAAAACTTGTTTTTGTGAAAGCAGCAGTGGCAGATGAACTGAGGTGTGTGCAGTCTCACCCCTCTTTGTCATTCTCCAGTTTATCTTTGATGATGTCCATCAGTTTGTTCCTGGCATCGAGGGCAATGGAGAAACCCGACGACCACATAGGAACCTTCACATTTACTGGAGCAGAGATCAGGCCTGCAGGGTGAGGGGGAGGAGGGCAGAAGGCGCAGAACAAAAGAGTCAGAAACACACAGATGAATGTGTGCGGTCCCAGAATGAAAGAGGAAGTTGGAGATGTTGCAATAGTCTATTGCACAAAACTTGAAGTTGCCAAAAAAAGACAAAAGAAAAAATTGTCATGTTTTAACATTACCAGAGGTGTTAAGATTGATCACTTCTTAGTGTTATATTTAAATAAAAATACGTTGCAGAAAGAACATCAATGCAAAAGGCTGCAAAAAAATGAAAATAAAAAATTAGCACGAGGGTTTTTTTGTGTGTGTGTGTGTGTGTATGATTTATCTGTATGGCCCTACCGTGCCAGTGCTGGGTGCACAGCTGACTGATTTCCTGGAAAAGTTCAGGTTGCTTCTCAGCTCGTACGTTCAGAAAAAGGCCCAACACCAGCTCTGTCCCCAGAGACTTAAAAGCAGTGTATACACTCTCTGGCTGACCACTACACAGACACACACAAGTATACAATCGGAGACACATTGATGAGTTTATTCAATTAAATTATTCAATTCAACTTATTTATACAGCACCAAAACACGATAACAGTTTCCTCAAGGTGCCTCTATATTGTAAGGTGGACCCTACAGTAATACAACAGAGAACTGAACGATCAGATGAGCCCTTATGAGCAAGGACCTTGGTGTCAGTGGGAAGGAAAAACTCCCATTTAACAGGAAGAAACCTCCAGCAGAACCAGGCTCAGGGAGAGACTGTAATTTAAGCAAGTGACTTCAAGAAATACTGATAGAAACACACCATAAAGCTGTATATGTATGTATGAAAATATGAATATTATAAACATTGGACGTTTATATTTTAGTGTCCTAACAACTACATTTAAAAAGCTTCTGTACTTTTTTCACATGGTGATATTCATCTTCACAGCTTTGGTTTCAAAGTTAGGTTGGGTGTGTTTGGACAAAATATTGTCATTGTGGTTGTGTGAATTACATCTGCGGTGGGTGGTGTACACTGTATCTGTACATCAGCACAGTGTGTTTGTAGTGAAACAATCAGGATGTGACTGAAGTGCAGACCTTCAGCTTTACTTCAAGGGGTTCAAGGCGGTTACTTGTTTAGTTATTGCAGACATTGTTACACACAGTCTCCCATTTTCAGAGGCTAAAATAATCGGATACACTAACACATTTTTTATTCCAAGGATTCTTCTTCCTTTCTTTGTCTTTCAGTGACTTGGCCTTGATAAACTCTTGAGTTGCTTTTGCAGTTGGCTTTGAGTAATTATCCATTTGTACTGTAAAGCGCTGTCTGATCAGTTCTGCATCATTGCTCTGTGCCCTTCATAATTCATCCTGCTCCTTCTATAAACGTCATCAACAAACACGCGTGACCTGGTTACACTGGCAGCCATTCACGCCCGTGCCACAACATCATCTCCACCATGTTGACGGTGATGTCTCCTTCAGATCAGGAGATGTTTCTCTCCTTCTCTATAATTTCCTCTTCCCTTCAAGTTAATCTGGATTTCATCTGTCCAAAGACTTTTTTCCCTAGAACTGTACAGGCTCTTTTAGTTTTCTGGCAAACTCTACTTTGATCTTCTTGTTCCTGAGTGTAACCAGTGGTTTGCACCTTATGGTGAACCCTCTGTATTTATATTCATGATGGCATCCACCGATTGCACACATTAGACTGATACACCTATCTTCTACAGATTTCTTATTTCTTAAGTGATTTTTTTTCTTAAACAAGGTAAGAATCTGTGATGCTACACCTGAGTTCTTTTTTAAGATCTCTTAGTGCAGCTGAGCTGTGTGATCCTTTTGATCACACAGCTCATGAAACTGCTTGTCAGTAATTTGTCTGATTAATTTTGAGCCTCTGAAATAAAGGACTACATACACAGTAAAAATACTTATGGACCTAACTTTACTCTTGCTTATCAAAGAGTATCACTTTTTACTTATTCGGACTGTGAAACAATACTTGTTGTAAATCTCATTGTATTCTTTGAGCTACATTAATACATATAAATATATCCGTGAAAAAGGTAAATATGTGTGGATATAACTGGTGTAAGTGTTACCTGACAGAGAGGTCCTTCAGACAGCGCTCACATACACTACACAGACACAAACAGACAAGCACAGACATATTTTAGTCTTAAGTAAAAGTACAACTGTTTTTTTGGAAAGAACTGTTGTTTCTCAAACAAACAGGGACTCAGCTCTTGCAAGAGAAACCTTTGACATGGATGGACACATTTCAACTGCTGCAGCAGTGAAAGGTTTGCAGTTGCGTCACATATATCTATGCAATTATTTCTGCCGCCACAACCCAAACTTCAGTCAGAGGCATCCCCCAGCTATCAAATACATGAATTACTGTTGTAACAATATTATGATTACCTTGCGATATAATCACTCCACGATCCCAAACAGCTTCCTGTAAAGAGGCTGGTAAGTGACAGGCGGAGAAGGCATGCCTCCTCACCTAAAATATACCAATACAAGTCACTGTTTGCAAAGTTTTTTGCTTGTATTTAAAGCATGTGGAGTAGGGAAGGGAAAATTGATACTCAAATTGAATATACTTTAAGTGTGGGCCATCTTGTATGTGTGTGAGTGTTTACCATTAGTAGTAACAATGGTGTCACCATACATGTTTGTCATCAAGTCAGTTGGATCCTTAAGAAACAAACTGGACTTCTCTGAAACACATCACATAACATCTCTGCATACTCTTCAATCAAACGTCCACGTCACACTTTGCTTCATTTGTACTAAACACAACATGCATGGAAAATCTCTGCTTTTTCTCATGAGTGCTTCTGTGATCTCATTCCTATTTTACAGCATAACAAAAATATCATCACATCACGATGCATAAGTTGAATAAATCATGCCATGGGATATTTAAAGTGTTTAAATGTGAGAGGCAGAAACGACTAAATTAAGGTTGGAGATATTTGTATTTAGGGGACTAAATTTGTTTACACAAATTCCTACCGCTAGCATGTGCTTTAAAATTTAAATTATAAAACTTTAATGTCCAGTAAGTCATGTATTAAAAAAAATCTAAATCACAAATAAATACAGTGTGTTAACATTAACGCTTTAAAAAAATCTATTTTCTCTCTCTCTCTCGGTATATTTTGGTCACTGAATAGGCCCTATCCTCATTTTAAGTGTGCAATATAATATGAGTAATTTATTAAAGTGCAAGTATTTAAATCATTTGTAAAAGTAAAAACAATTAAACTTCTATAATAATAATATTTTCCCCCAATACTATCCCGAGTCTCTCCCATGGACTACTCGAGGAAATTTTTTCCATATATCCCTTTGACTGTGGAAGCAAAGTTTAACTATGTGTCGTAAAAGAGAAAGTGTTCACTATACCACACAGCAGCTCTCTCATCCCTTGCACGGAGCAGATAAAGGCTGTCGGTCTGTTCATTAGGCGGCAGAGAAACATTCTGCTCCGGTGTTTTTCGATCCTCTGCTGGCAGAAGCTCACCGGGTCCCGGTAGAACTCCAGGGACTTGTCCCCGAGCAGCGATACACCTGCATTTCCTGGTAGTTTAGTCATTCAGAATCTGAGTGCAACGACGTTTATCTTCTGTTTGGCTTGTAAATGGCACTGTCAGAACACCAGGAACTCTCAACTTTTTAAAACCAGGTCCAGGTCCGAACTAATTCCTTATTTATCTGTGACTATCCACACGAGCGACCTTGCGAACTCTTGCCAGCTTAATGTTGTTTCTGTTTTCTCTGAGGTACCGTAAAGTGCCCACCTGCACCAGAGAGTGATGCGTTGAGGTGTTGCCCGTAATTTAGATTGACGTTGTAAAGACGGATTAGTCCAGGGATGTCAAACTCGTTTTACATCAGGGGCAGTCACCAAGTTCAGCTAACTGGTCAACATTAAATTTGGATCAGGTGTAGTGAAGAGGGAGGGTCACAGGGAGAACCTCTGTGTTCACATTTTGAGAGTGTGGAGTAGTGGGATATATAAGCAGGCAAACCACTGACTAACATGGGCACAAGAACTTTTTATGGGATGAAAAAATGTAATGGGACAGTTAGGGTCATTCAAGTTCATTCAGTGAACTTGATGAGAGAAACGGTGAGCAATATCCACAGTAAGGAGACCAGGGATCAGTTAATGGTTGTGTGTGTGTCGTTAAGCAATAGTGTGTATGTAAATGATGACATGTGTGCAAGTTTGTGTGTGTGAGAGAGGGTAAAGGGAAATGTAAGGTACCAGGATGCAATGATGCACCAAAAATCAACTGACAAAAATGTGATATATAACCCTAACCCAGACACAACACAGAATCACTTTTTTCATTTGAATCTGAAAAACTTTAGGTAAAAGTCAGTGCTGAGGTGTTTGATTAAATATTTTCATCAAACACCTCAGCACTGAGCTGCACAAGACTGTAAACTTTACTGCATTTTGTCATCCACTTTGAAAAACATATATCCAAGTATGTTTCGTATATTTGCTGCACTACTGTTTTTTTTCCCACGTCTGATTTTGTTTTGATTAAATATTCTCGTTCTTGCCCCCCTCCCCGCCCCGTGCCACCCGGTCAAAAAAGAAAAATCTTAGAAACGTCGGGTGTGAAAACAGGTTAACCTTCTTTCGTCACATCAGCTGCGTAAAAAGCCTGACTTTAGAAGCATTCATGTCCTACAGTGAAGGCTTTTGACCACTGCAAATGTGAAGTATCTTCTAATTATGTGGGATAGAGAGGTAAAATATGATGTCCACTCTCACATAAAGTGGGCCAGTTGGTCACCCGCAGCTGTACTATAGCATGCAGTTCCCCCCTTTGCCACGCGATGGCGGCAACGATCACTCCGCCTCTCTCTCTCTCTCTCTCTCTCTCTCTCTCTCTCTTGGTGGGACGGTCACTCCTCTGCAGCCCGTGCGTATCAGACTCGCCGGGCTCGCGGCAGCTTTCACACTTCTGTCATGTCAGTAGGAATATAAGGGGAATACACGCGCAGGGGGGAATATTTGACTGTGCGCAAGGGAGGCGTGGAGCCCGACACAGGTAAGAGCCTTACATGAACATTTTTTAAAAGTTTGGCAAAGAGAAACAGGGATACCGTGTGCTCACTGCAACTTCACACACACCTACTATCGAGAGCAAGCAAACACGACGAAATCAATAATAATAACAAAGAGAACAACGCAAATGTAAACTTTTTTTTTCTTATTTTGATGTTCTTTTTTTTGAGTTTCTTATCATCGTTATCACACTGACTGACATCTTGCAGGATTGCTTGACCAGCCAAGTAGCCTAATCCTGTCTCCAGCCTTAAAATTGATTTTAATTTGAATCTAAGCCTCTCTATAAGTGCTTGACTCTTGTGTGAATACCACTGCTTATCATCAATTATAATTTTCCCACACATTTGTTAGCCAAAAAGAATGAACAACTTGTGCTTCCACAGCTGTTTGTTTTAGTTTTTTGTTTAGTTTTTTTTTACATGTATTACATACCTTCAGCTGCTTTTTTTCCCTCGTATTTTTCCACTCATGCACCCAAAGGAGAGACTTACCTCATCAACTTGTATTTTCTTATCCGTACTGTCAAGCTGAGTGATTGGCACATTGTGGGAATAGACTATGTGAGTGACAAAGTAACCAGTCCTGTCTCCATCATGAAAGAAGATGCATTTATGATTTCAGTAGCCTGTCTGTCACTCCTTGATTCATGCCTGATCACCATGCAGTGTCATGAATTATAATTTTTTTGCAGCTTATCACCTGCTTGTGAGCAAAAAAAAAGATGAGGCCACAGCTATTTTTTCCCATCTTGATTCTTTACCCATGCACATGCTCTAAGAATCTATTTGTTTTCTCAACTTGCTGTGTACTATTTTCTTGTGAATTAGCTTCTAACATTTAGTATGCCACCCTTCTTCTTCTTCTTCTTCATTTTGCTGTAAGGTCATGCAGGGGAACTTCTTCTTCTTGGTCACCGCCGATCGCATGTTTTATGACCTAACATCTATTATTTGACTTAGAGGTGCGTCAGCTTTAGTGTATGGATGAGTAAACATGCACTCGATGTGCTTAATGAGGGGACATTGAAGCTTCAGTGCCTGTGTCGGGACACATGAAAAGGTCAAATGTTGTTCAGTTACTAAGGAACAGGGTGCTAATCAGTGACATTTCATCACAGAGGTGATGCACTAATTTCTCCTTTGCTGCTATATAACAACATGAGCCATGCACACATATAGATCTACTTGAGGCTGGACTCAAATACACACACCATCTACTGAATGCACTTTAGCATGCCAAGCAGCTGCTGGAGGCTGTTCTTCACTTGATTAAGCTTTTAATTGACTGTAAACAATGTAATAGTGCTCTACAGTAAAATGAGTGTTCTGATACACTGCGCTGGTTACACAAAGTGTGTGTCTGTGTGCCTTTGTTAACGAGAGTATTAAGAACAGGATTTTTTTTAAAGACATGAAAAGCTGACTTTCTAAAACAAAAAGCAGATTATGTGCTTATGTAAATGACGAACATTCAGCCCAGTATCTACAGAAAATAGATCTGATGTGGTGTGAGGTGGTAGGAAGGTCTGGGTGGTGGAGGCAGGTCTAACTTTCATAAAGACCAGAGCCTACCTACTTTCACAGATGTGTGATCAACAATAGTCATAACCATAACATAACCTAGTGGGCAGTTTGTGTAGAAATGTTGAAAGGAAGAGTTTTAAAAATGCTGACACTGAGTGTAATCAAATTTCTTGCTTGGTGAAAAAATTATTTTGATTAACTACGTAAAACCTAACCAACAGCTACTGCTACTATAAAAGTTTTGTGAGGGTGTTTAATCATGTTTATGTGCCTTTTATTGTGGGAAAGTCTTTGTCAGCGGAGTATGTTGGATGCAGTTTAGTAAATCACTTTGTGACTTTTTATGAGGGCATAATGTTGCACTGGATTTGCCAAGCGGGGTTTTGTTTGATGAACTCACTTGAGGTATTTCCCGATTTGAGTGAGGGGATGTGTTTGATAATGTGGGTCAGTATAAAGAGTCATAATGCTCCACACTTCCTGAAAGTAGGGGTGTCAGATACATCTTCACTGAGTCCACACTGGGAACTGATATTCATATCAAGGTGGCAAACATTGACGTGGTTTATTGTCATGCCTTTATTTATTGTAAAATGCCAAGATCCAGTAGATTGTACTGTAGAACCACCCTGAGTATAGTTTCTTAATAGTTTTCTGTGTGACTTCAGTCTCTTATATTGTGGGGGCCATTGCAACACCATGATTCTCCCATTTTTCAGCCATTCTGCTATAGAGTTGCTGTTGTGCTTGGGATCATTGCCCTGTTGCATGACTTGGTTTCAGCCAACCTTTAGCTCTCGGAGAGATGGCCTTAGATTTGACTCTAGAATGTCGACATGGTCGACTGCAGTGACTGCAAGATGCTCAGATCCCGTGGCTGCTAAACAAGCCCAAATCAAATGTCAACTGACTTTGTTAATTGTTGTGTGGGGTTGGAAAAAGAGCTACCACTGACTGTACTTGAACTAGCATCTCAGTGAGTGCAAGTAGGGCTCCAAAGGTCGATCAAAGAACTTCTTTGAGAACTTTTCCAAACCCAAAAAATGTTGACAGTTTGGTATAAGGTATTTATGATAATGTAGTGTGCTTATGATAATGCAGCCTCCCTGGGAAAGTCTATGCCAGGGTGCTGGAAAGGAGAGTTCGTCCGCTAGTCGAACCTCGGATACAGGAGGAACAATGCGGTTTTCGTCCTGGTCGCGGAACACTGGACCAGCTCTTTATCCTCTCGAGGATACTTGAGGGTGCATGGGAGTTTGCCCAACCAGTCTACATGTGTTTTGTGGACTTGGAGAAGGCATTCGACCGAGTCCCTCGGGGTGTCCTGTGGGAGGTGTTGCGGGAGTATGGGGTGAATGGCCCATTGCTACGGGCCATTCGATCCCTGTACAACCATTGTAAGAGCTTGGTTCGCATTGCCGGCAATAAGTCGGACTCGTTCCCGGTGGGTGATGGGCTCCGCCAGGGCTGCCCTTTGTCTCCGGTTCTGTTCATAATTTTTATGGACAGGATTTCTAGGCGCAGCCAAGTGGCGGAGGGCTTTCGCTTTGGTGGCCTCAGAATCTCATCTCTGATTTTTGTGGATGATGTGGTTCTGTTGGCTTCATCGGGTGAGGGCCTCCAGCTCGCACTGGAACGGTTCGCAGCCGAGTGTGAAGCAGCGGGAATGAGGATCAGCACCTCCAAATCTGAGGCCATCTTTCTCAGCCGGAAAAGGGTGGAGTGCCCACTCCGGGTCGGGGATGAGTTCCTGCCCCAAGTGGAGGAGTTCAAGTATCTCGGGGTCTTGTTCGCGAGTGATGGGAGAAGGGAGCCGGAGATCGACAGACGGATTGGGGCTGCAGCTGCAGTAATGCGGACGCTGCACCGGTCCGTAGTGGTGAAGAGGGAGCTGAGTGTAAAAGCGAAGCTCTCAATTTACCGGTCGATCTACGTCCCTACCCTCACCTATGGCCACGAGCTGTGGGTAGTGACCGAAAGAACGAGATCGCGGATACAAGCGGCAGAAATGAGCTTCCTCCGAAGGGTGGCTGGCCTCTCCCTTAGAGATAGGGTGAGAAGTTCGACCATCCGGGAGGGGCTCAGAGTAGAGCCGCTGCTGCTCCACATCGAAAGGAGCC